CCGTTTGCAACAGGGCGGCAGCGCCCACCGTCCGCCCCGGTGCCCGGAGCGGCTCTTCCCTGCCCCAACCCTGCATTCCCGCTGCCATTGCCAGAGCCTCTGCAAGCCTGGGGGCCTTGGGGACCCCCCGAATCCGGCACTTTTGCCTTTTCCAAGGCACACACCACGGGCCAAGATCCTGGAAAGCCAGAACCGGAGATTTCTTTAGTCACTGGAAAGCAGGGCCGGGCGGGCGCGGGGACCCCGGCCCCGCTTCAGCCCAGCTGATTATCATGGCAAACACGGAGTGGCCCCTCTCCCCGCTCCCCTCACTGCTCATTTAACCAGAAACTTCTTTCAAATTACATCCTTCTATTTCGGTGCCTTTGTGTTAATCATTTCCCCAGAGAATTGGTGTTTAATTGCTGTCTAATTTGCATAATTATGCATATTAATCTCCACACCTAATGAATATTCATACTTCTCATTTAGATTTTGTTTTCTAATCAAAAATTTCCAATGTGATTACTGTGCAGAGCAGGGATAAGCCTCTAATAATACCTTGGATACTAGGGAGAACCGCTGCCAATTCTGCCAGACCCGGCTTCGCTCCCGCGCGGCGCCCGGGGCCCTTCTGCTTCCGCGGCCGTTTGGGAAGTGCCGCGACGGCCCAGGCGGATGAGGCGCCCGTGCATCCTCGGTACCCGCAATTCCGGCAATTCCCGGTGGCTTCGGCTCATCCCGGGCTCCTCGCGGGGCTGCGATCGCCCCCGGAGCGGCTCCTTCTCGGACGCCCTCGATGGCCAGAGGGGACGCCAGGGGGGCCCAGGCAAGGCCGGGATGGGTTTCTGGGCAAAATTCCTGAAGAAATTCCCTGCCAGGGCTGCCCAAAGCAAGGCCAAGGCAGCAGGTGACATCCCCGGCAGCCCCAGGGGCACCTGCTGGTCCCCCCATTCAAGGGGGCAGCAAAAAGGTCTCTGTTCCCTGCCTGCTGCCCTGCCCCTGCCCGGGGCTCCCGCTGCGAAACAGCCCCGTTCCCAGCGCTCCGAGGCGCGATCCCACTCGGAAAACGCCAAAATAGGAACCGCCGCCTCCTTCCATTAATATAGTTATTAAAAAAAAAAAAAGCACAGATTAATTGTGCATTTTAATAACCCTCATCATGAATATTCATAATGCATTCCTTGCTCGTGTTCTAATTAAAACGTACTAATAGAATAAGATGTTGCTGTCAGACAGCAATTTTTTTTTTCTTTTAAATGACTTTTACGCAGGAGCTAAGGAGAGCTGATAGACGAGCCCCGCTATGAGCTCTCCGTGAGGGTAAAAATAATTTGCCCAAGTTTAATCTCTGTTTCAAAAAAAGAAGCCTCCACCTGCCGAGAGATCCTGTCTTCCCTGTCCAGCCTCCTCACAGCCCTGGGAGCAAAGGGGGGTCCGGGAAGGGAACATCCGCAGCCGCTCTGGCTCTGTATGAAGCAGCCTGGCTCCAACGGGGGAGATTCCTTCACTTTGGGCTTTTTTCCCCCCAGTTCTGGTTGTATTTTTCCCAGGACCCAAGGATGCGGCACTGATGGGGGCTGTGGAGCAGCAGGCTCCTTCCCGGGGGCGCTCCCGCCCCGCTCTCCGTGCGCCGCTCCCAG